CACTAGTAAGTAGCCGGGATAGCGCAGTCGGCACAGCCACTGTTCGCGGGCTGTACGGCCGAGAGTTAGGAGTTCGAGTCTCGGTAAAGGCAAGATTACTCTCCTCTCCACTTCGTCCAGACCGATTCTGGGGCCAATCCAGTCTCGTATCCAAAGGGTACCTTGGGACCCCTTTCTTTGAGGTAAGGCGGCTGGGGCATGAAGCTGATCAGTCGCCTCCAAATAGTGCCGAGGTCAAAAATACATGGATCTATACACCCACTCCCCCATACGTCTTCACAGCGTAGTGCTTAATTGGTTGTGCACAGGACAACTTTACCCAGTAGTATCAGTTAAATATACTGACATAAGTTTATAAATAGATATGACGTAAGGCTAAAGATAGGCTATTGCCGGGTTGAAGTTTCTAGCCAATTATAACTTGAACTACCTTGCGAGTTGCCTGGTGAATGGATCGTTAGTTATTTGACGACGTTTTTTCTACTGCATTCGTTATGAATGAATTATCGCTCTGGATGAAATTTAAAGGTTTGGGGATGAAGTGATTTTTGCTAGTTTTAAGTTTCTTTACCGGAATTATCCAGGAAGTACTAAAGAAACGACAAAAAAAAACTCCAGCCAAGTTTCTGACACCGTACCTCCAGAATGTAAGAAAGAAACGTTGCCGTTTTGGGCACACTCAGTGATTCAGCTGGAGTGACTGCAGAAAAATACGAAATTGCAACTAATGTATGGCTGCTGTTAGGATGCCTATGTTTAGTAACATGTGAACTCATAGAGCCTCGACGTTTTGCTCGTGCTCACTCCAATAACTTAACAGACTAGTTACATGCAGCAGTGGCCATAACTCTCTGCCGTAATAAGGCGTAGCCGTTCATTGGAGGTCATGATTGCGCTGTGCAGTAATAAGGTACTCCAGATAGGAGACGGAGGGCAGTAAAACCCTTCCATGCCATTTATAGTAAGCTGCTGGATAACTGGGATTAAACAGCGAACTCCAGGCACGCTACTCGGAGTGTAAATCGATAATTGCAATGGAAGTCAACCTTTGATGATTACGAATAAATTAAGGGATACTAATGCCTCTTTCAATGAAACGGTTATACCGCTCATAATTATATCACAGAAGGACCAAACGGTAAGTATCAAGATAAAATAATTCAAGTAAGTCGAATCGTTATAGACAGTGGCCAATTTTAATCTCTGACTCTCTAAAACACAGTGGTTACTATGTATACCGCCTATTTTTATTTTGTACCATGTAGTCCCGCTGTTATGCAACAATCGAGAGAAGGAAAATGCATTGCTGAGTGCAGCTCAATTGGTTGGTGAGTGAGAGAATTCAGTTGAGGGTTGGCAGTACAATTGAGCTCTGCAAGGGAGGCTGAGAAGAGATGGCGCTATAATGAGTTGACAATTGACAAAGAGTTCTACACGGGCGGCTGCGACAAGAGACCTGAGCGCGGGAATCTAAAGAATCTCCAGTGTTAGGAGCCGTTGCCAGAGAACGGTTGGTGATGACACAACAGGCTGGAAAAGGCTTAGCGTGTGCTGTGGTGATCTGTGAATTTGGAGATTAGCGATAGCACTGTAATTACCTGTAGTTCTGAATTGTGTTAATAAATCCAATATCCAGTCTACACCCCGTCTATAGTAACACCCATAAATACGTGACAGTATTATATTATGTTGTATTTTATCCACGGAATGCACTTAAAATAGGCTTTTACATCGTACTCAGAATAACAGCGATAATTTCTATAAACGGCTTAACCGACTGGTAGTTGTAATGGAGACGGGATATTTTCTGTGAAGTAGGAATTGAATTCTGAAAAATTAATTGGATAAATTTTAGTCTGAAAAATTTTTCAACTATTGTTACTTAAAGAGATGTCCTTCCTCTCATCTCATCATCAGTCATATTAAATCGCTTATTCTTCAGCTTATCTGGATTAAGACAGTGTATACTGTCTGATGCCGTAGAACCTCTATGAGGCTTCATTTATGCTGGTCCGCAAATCCAAGCTAGCCTATGTTGTATTTATTATACTACAATTGGAAAAGTTTTATAATTTGGAAGTAGCGTATTTTTTATTATATATTTTTTTCTTTGCCGCTACTAAATATTATGTGCCGACTGTTACGTTTCCTTGTACTGTCTTTTTATCATTGGATCATCTCTTATAAATCTTCACAACCACCGACGTGGCAACCTCAACTCCGGCGAATAACATGTATACATCGATTTAATATTGCATAGATAATTCTGAAATAAAGAGCCTGGCATATATTCAGGATATACCGTATTTACGCATGTGTAGGCAGCACATTTTTTGCCAAAAATTCAAGAGGAAAACTGGGGTGCGGCTCATATTCGAAATATTCGAAATGACACTTCATTTTAAAAAAATATATTCATAATTGGTAATACAGGGTGTTCTACTCCTGAAATAATATTCCAAGAAAATTATTTTTTCTATAATTTCTGTCTGAAAATTGTGCTGCGGCCTATACATGCGTAAATACGGTAGTCGGTGGAAGTTGATCTATTTTTATAATTGTCTTTAGGCGTTCCAGAAATTAACATGTGTAACCACACGTACGTCAGTACAGTTTTGTCTCTAACGATATAACATCGAAGATCGACGGGTCTCAGTAGCTGATCGGTTCATAATTCGGAGAAACGTGATGTTTCTAGTGAGGCAGATCGGAACGAACGAGAGCACTGCTCCGTCATAAAAATTAATTCCCATATGTATCTTTGCCTGACATGGAAATGAGGTTATGTTTCCTGTACACTGATGATTTACTCTCAGATAACACTGACTTTATGAAATCGTAGTTTGTCTGAAACTCTGAAATACAATTCATACAGTAAGAAAATATCTGCATTTCTGTCATTTGCCAGCACAATTTAACGATTTTCAGCGGCATCTTCTTCCGCCATTTCGAATTTCTGGAGATTTTTATGCCCTTGGATGTAATCCTTCTCTCTACAAATGTAATTTAAGCATTTACATTCACAAACTGCGTGAGTTTTCTAGACAGTGCCTCCTTGAACTGAACTTATGCGTTATGGACTGGCAAGAGGAGTGTCGAACTCCAGCCTGAGTGCGCAGTCGCAAAAAGTTCTTACTGTGTGCGTAACTCTGAAATTTGTTATCCTCTGTAAGATAAAGTACGCAGTATTTATCCAAAGTTGGGTAGTTGCCTAACAAAGCAGCTCGGATAATGGAAACTATTGCTTTATAACTTTTTGCTTCCTTTCCTTTTTAAGTAATTGTTTTATTTATTTCTGTTATAGGTCTATATCCTTTAGGCTTCTAGTACGTATCTGTAGCTGTTCCAGGAACGTGTTACCAGAATATAATACAGAATATCCTTCTGCGACTTGTACAGATACGTAACCAAGTTTATAAGAATTGCACTTCAGTTGTCTCAGAATTCCTTTATCAGAAAGTATGTTGATAAAGACCGTATGCTGAATATACAGGCAGCAGATAGAAGGCAGAATGCTTGTGTAGGTATGAATATCGCAACTTGTCAGCTTTTCGATAATCGACTTTAATTCCATCATTCTGGCTTTGATACACGTTCAGATGGTACGTGCCTGTCTTATAAATTAAATTTTGACTAAATTTATAGCATATATTTGCGTTATTTTGCAAATTATTCACTTCACTCTTTTAATACTTCTGAATTAACTGTTTATGGATCATACGCTCTAAAATGATAGAGTGAATTAAATTGCCTGCTAACCGTGACAGAAGGTTTATTTCAAGTAGCTTTAGTTGTTCAGTGGGATTTATATGTGTCTGATACATAAGCAGAGCTGTAAAAGCTTCCCACTATATACAGAACTTCATATACACCTCTCATTTCATTTATATATTTGCCTATAGCGTATTTAATAGTATCAATAGCTCAGGCAGTATGGCTTCAAATTATATGATGATTAGTTATTAATGAATTGGATGGGATCTAGAAGGAAGCGGTTGTGACGAAATTTGATGTTCTATACCACCGTTTTCTTGATGAGACTGAAGGTAACTTCACTTGGAATACTTGGTCTCCTGGTCGAGATATGAAGCGAGAATCTTCCAAATGCAAAAGAGTTCTTCTGTTGACTGGACCGCTACTTTTGATGGTGCATACATCTCGCTAACTTAACGTCCGATGTGTAGAAATTCGGTAGATATATTTTCTCTGGGTACTTTGTGCCTGATTTAAGGATTTTATTGCAGGGAAATGATGAAATGCGAAGCTTATTAATTGCGCCCTAGTAGAATGTTTGTATATTTCTAACAGTGCTCGTATGATATTATATTTAAGCATCCTGTTGCATTGAAGTTCCACTTATACTCTATCAAATATTCCGTGTATAATGCAGTACAGTGGACGCAAAGGCACACTTGGTACATACAATCGAAAGCATACAGCGAAATTCAGAAACAGCCGCACTACATAAAAAAATGAAGAAGAAGAAAATATCAAAAACGAAATGAAAGTAAGAAAAGGAAGGATATTCAGTTAGTACGCAATGCATTAGGTTTCCTCATATAAGCGTTGTCTTAAGTTGGCCTTATATGGCCGAAACGTGTAGCATTGTAATAATGCATGTATATTATAATAGTTTTAATAACATCTTATGCACATAACGATTTCCACTATGTGGATTAAAGTGTGAATCAGTGATATTGATTGTTGCATTATAGACTGAACTTTCGATGGACTATAAGTGTTCGTATGAAGTATGGTTCTATTATATGAATACTAGGACATGAGATGTATATCTCATAGTGTGTGAACAGTTGCACGTTCGAAAAATTTGGCTCTGCTTTTGACGTAAAATCATTTACTGGGAAGTGTCGAGGGACAGCGAATCATCTTCTGGCCATATGGCCATTTGCCAGATTTCCTTAATATGTACAGCACACGCTGAACCAATCCTATGACCGCAATTGCAGTGCCATTGCGTGACGTTATGCGTTTTGTTTCAGGTGTCGCAGGTACAGTGGAGGTCCATTTCGAGAATAAAGACGGAGGTTTCTTCCTCAAACACATACCTCGTCAGTATTACCCCGCTGTCGCTGATCTGGCGGGGGCATCCGGGGGCATGGGATCTCTTCTAGGACCCCGAGGCGGAGCTCTGACCAGCACTAGCACTGCCAGCAATAGTGGTGCCACCTCATCCGTCCTCAGTGTTGACAGATTCACCGTGTTCCAGACCTCACAGCCTATTTCAATACGCGCTACGTACGGGCCATTCTCTACAAAACAAACTGTTCCTGCTCGGTACATAGTTCCAGACCCATTAGACTCCCTGCCACTCCCAGAGAAACCTCAGCTACATGCAACCAATGCTAGCACGTCAACATCCCCAATCCTTGTCGACATGGATCTCGCGGCTTCCTCTACGCATCACTTGGACATGAGCGCCCATATCGTCCGGACCGAGATTCCCCGAGATTCTCCTGTGCTCCGAGTCCTGTTTCATACTGGATCGGATCCCGGAGGGAGAAGACAGCTGCTTCTGAGGAATCACCAGCGGGTATGCATTGTTCTGCACGCTACGCTGGGCGATAGACCCGCTCTGACAGCCGCGTGCACCCCGGACGGTGAAGACGGCGTGTGTCTTGCTCAAGTGACAATTCCTGCGAACTGGTGGGCCCCGCTGCCACCCCCAGATAAGACCGGAAGGGCTGGGAAACCCGTGAAGACCCCACAGCGTCTGGTTCAGGTAGCATATTCCGTGCTGGAGCCGCGCACTGGTGCAGATGGCGAAGGCGCGATGGATGATGGCGGTTGCATCCCTCGAGTTCAGATCCAGCCCATGACTCCACTTGCCGCTGTTCCGCTTGTGCCAGCCAGGTCCGCGTACCGTGAGCTGCGGTCCGATGACTTGATGACGATGATGGTGCCACACGGACCGCTGTATCCGCTCTCGCGTCTCCACATCCCCGTGTTCCTCCAGCCACTTCCCGAGTACCCCATCTCCGTGTTCATCATCAGGTGAGTGCCCCAGTTCAACGTACTTTTCTAATGTCAGTCGCTCGCATGTTAGCTGTCAGCAGACTATATTGAATATATCAGTTAGTGAAACAATAATACAGTGATAAGATAGTGTTTAATGTATAATACTTTATGGAGCACGTAGTCATAAACGTGACCAGTTCGGGCTTTACTTCCGTTTCCGGATAATATTAAGAACCGAAATATTTTGAGGTGGTTTCATCATCTCTAGAAGCAAATATTTTTAAATATTGCTAAATATTAAATATTACCAAGATATTCTCTGCCGGTCACGGTAGCCGAGCGGTTTAAGTCATGCACTGTCTTCGCTCGCTCGGAAGCCGGGATCGTGGGTTCGAATCCCACTCAGGGCATGGATGTTTGTGTGCGTTTTTCTGTGTTTGTCTGCAGGTAGACTCCTTGCGACGAGCTGACCACTCGCCCAAGGAGTCCTACCGTATGTGTAAGACCGAGAAAAACCGAAGTGAACGGAGTTCATGGAGGTAGACCTAGGCTCACTGGGGCTGTAGTGCGAAGGGGAAAAAAAAAAGATATTCTCTGCACAGTTTCGAAATCAGTACCAAATATTTACTTATTTGTATTTATTTTGAAGTTTATTTAACGAAGTAACTCAGACTTCATGGCGTCGAATCATTAAAAGCAGCGTTAATTAGAAAGGATATAGAAGGGAGCTGCCGTAGGCTAATTTAAATTAGAACTGCTGTCCCTCCGTTTTGGCTGGACTGAGAAAAATACTGAGAACTTCAGTCAGAACAATAAGCATTCCGACCGAGTTTCGAAACGGGTACCTCCCGAACACGAACCAGAAGCGTTGCCGCTTAAGCCAACTTACTAGTTTGCTGCGATTAGGTTTCCCCATCACGTCTTGCATGAAAGTGTACATGTTGTAATAGTAACCAGCTTCTCCATTGAGATCTGCCTCTCTTTTCTTGTGCTGATGCATATCTTTCGAGGAGTCTTCTTAATGTGCGAAGATGGAATGTGCTTCAAAGCGAAATTAATTTAACCAGAATATAAAACAAGAGAAATAGAACGTTGAATCGAAAGACGAAGTGGAAAGAATGTTGTCACGGAATTTAAAAGAAGTTTAAACGGTAAAGAATAGTTATATAATTAGCTCTTATAATAATTAATTATTAGAAGTTCCTGTAGTATAGATATTAAAATTAGTTGGCCTCTCTTTTGAGTGACCATTATTTATATTACAAACGTTTCACTGAAACTGATAAACTTTTCCTGTCTTCCCATCTCAAATTCAGGTTTAATTAAAACTCCAACATTCATTGAAATATAGCCCTTAAAAGTTATTGCACTGGGCCTACAGGCAAATTAGATTGTAAATATTGCCTACTGGGAGTAAACTACGCAGGAATCCAACATGTGACGTCATTCCGGAGTTTTCAGTTGATGACAACATGTGTGCTGTTAATACAGAGAGAGATAGACGTAACACTCGAGGAATAATTGGTAACAACTTCCTCAGAATGAACTCCCAGTGGATTACAAAAGGATGTTGCTCTCAAAACTTCTGTAGACCAAGGAACATTGTGAGAATGCTCGGGGAAGGAAAAGCAAATATTAAATTGACTGCAGAGCAAACTCAGCATGGCTTAAAGGAAAGCACAACTGAACGAGTATTCCACAAGTGCAGGGTTAACGACTGAGTGAAGTACTTTCGGATACAAATGATTTTCTCTCTCATCCTTGTCACTCGCCAAGTACGAGTACATGATGCAATTCCGAGTGTAGGTTGAAAGCGTCACAACCACTTTTCAAATATTTCGTGTACTTCTGAGCCTCTGAAATGGAATTACTGTATTTCTACATTATAACGAAAGTCTATTAATACTTTCCGTGCTAGACTGCAAAAAGAACATTCTCAGTTGTTTTCATCTGTTCTGAATATCTTTTAATTATGAATGATGCAATGAAATGCACTTATGCAGTCTCTTGACAGTTCATAATAATTAATGGGAAAACATCCGTCGAGATGTGAAACACTTTATTTTGCATTTTAATCTTTCTCCTATTTTCTTCCTTTTATTTCTTTCATACCTCCACCTCACGCTTCTTTTTCTCTCTTAAAATATCGGATTAAATTATTTTATCCTTTAGTTGGTATAGTTCCAAAGTTAAAGCTGTCATGTTTATAAATACATGAAAACTATAAAAAACGCACATTCACTCACAATCCATATTCTGTTACATACGTGTATGTACTTGTATGTATGTGTGTGTAATATTTATGAATCATTATTCGAGATCAAAGTGTAAGTTCCCTTGGAAACATGTAAACAAAAGTAAGCGGTATATTAGCGGCCTCCGTAGTCTAGGGGTAACGTTCCCACCTCATGACTCAAGGTACGCGGGTTCAAACCCGGCGGAGGTCGTGGAATTTTTAAGGGCGGAAAAATTCAGGGAACAAGTCCTCCGGGAGGGACTTCAAGCCGTGGGTCCAGTGTCGTAGATTTACGGCACGTAAAAGAACCTCATGTCTCTAGGAGACCTCTGAACTAAATTAGGCAAATTTCCCCCCCAAGTAGTTTCCAATGCCTCCGGTAGATGGGGGAGCTTAGGTACCACTGCCAGAGGGGGGACGACCTCACTGACAGAAAGGGGCTAACTATTAGATACCACTGCCAGTAGAAGGCCGAAACCTCGCTGGCAGAAGGGAACGATAGCAAACACCAGTACCGGTAGGGTATGGAGACAGTAGAAATTCAAAGGGGGACGCACAATAGATCAAACTGGTTGCGGTGCATGGGGTAACCCACCCCCTCAATACTCAATACTGAAGCGGTATATTTATCATACATATTTTGTCATTAAAAGGGTTAAAAGTTTGCGCAGTGCTGTGGAGTGTCTGAGTTCTAGGGTATCACACATACCAACAAACGATATGTACTTGTGAATCATGTACGGATTGCCGTCCCAAGTTTCGTGTACTACATGTATTCGAACGTCTGTCACACTGCAGCCCCGTTCTTAGGCGCTCCTCCGTGTCACAGAACTTCCAAGCAATAGACTGCATGATGATCCACGGGACCTTGTCAATTACTCACACCAAGTCTTCATACCCGTACATGGAGGGAAGCAATTTTATGGACATTCATTTATGTTATAAATGAAAGAGCTAAGAAGTGCAAATATGATTAGATCACGAAATGAATTAAAAACTTTGAAGACTTCCCTGTTAATGTTACAACTTACCATATCATATGAAGGAAAGATATAATTCTGTCTGGCACTTGCTTAAGGAATGTTTAATTTCTTGCACACTGAAGTTCGCAGATCGTGTTAATATATGATGAACACACATTATCAGAATCACTAAATTTATTATAGTTTTCCTTGGCACTACAGCCCCAGTGGGCCTAGGCCTACCTGCATGNTACTAAATTTATTATATTTTTCCTTGGCACTACAGCCCCAGTTGGCCTAGGCCTACCTCCATGAATCTCTCCGTTTCACTTCGGTTTACTAGATCTTACACGTATGGTAGGACTCCTTGGGCGAGTGATCAGCTCGTCGCAAGGCCTCTACCTGTAGACAAACACAGAAAAACGCACACAAACATCCATGCCCTGAGTGGGATTCGAACACACGATCCTGGCTTCCGAGCGAACGAAGACAGTGCATGCCTTAAACCGCTCGGCTACCGTGACCGGCCAAATTTATTATGTGGCTATCCTAAAATGACAGTAAAGGATACTGTACTCCCAGTAAATTAAATTTTCATCGGAAGATCCAAATTTACTCAACTGCATATCTAACTGTTTGGATTATACAGAAATGAAAGTAGAAAGAAACGAAGAAATTTTAAAAATATAGATAAGTGACTCATGTGTGATCGAAAGAATATTTAAAAATATGTGTAGAATCCTAGAGTTTTCTTCAGAAGGGTTTCATCCGTGACGTGGCAGTGTTCAATGTTGATGTTGTAGGCTTTAATTTAGTAGGAAACTCAAGATATACTAAAACTGAAAGTTAAAACACCAGGCGATATACTAAACATTGGCTGACGGTTCAAGTATTGCCTGAGGCGAATACATGTAAAAGGAATTCCTTATGTCTGGCTACGTTGGGGTCCCAATATGTGTTTATGTCACC